GTGTGTGTGTGTGTGTGTGTGTGTGTGTGTGTGTGTGTGTGTGTGTGTGTGTGTGTGTGTGTGTGTGTGTGTGTGTGTTCACTTACTCCCCTGGCAAAGCCACTTGTTGTCTTTAAGGCAAAACTTTGCTCAAAATGAAGAGTGGATCCCTCAGGACTGCCATCTACACTGATGTCACACAAGCAGATGTTGCAGATTTAAATCAGGGTGTTGCTATAAGTATTAAAGTTTATGTTAATGTAAATTTGAGGGTGTTTACCTGGTAATGACGAAAGCTGTGCGTGTGCACGGCTGGACACTCCTGACAGCGCTGACTGCACACGGAGCTTGAATGCTGGGAGAAGGAATCTTTGTTAAGCTGTTAACATCAGCATTGATGCTCACTGCACTGCACTCCCTGTTTCCTCCTCCCATGTTCACTAACATCACAATATCACCAAAGTGCAGAGTGCCATCATTTGTCACGGAGAATTTCACCTACACAAACAGATAAAGTCCCTTATTAGCACATTGCCAGTGTGATTGGTTTCAACAAGTATTTTATTAGGTTAAAACCCATTTTACCGGTTTTAAAATGTTCTCTTTGAGGAAGTCCATTTTCTGGCCAGCAAGCTCACCCCTCTCTTTTTTCTCCAGATGTTCTTTTACTTCATCCTGGAGGAAAAAAAATAAGACATCAAGTAAGTACTCTTTAACACAGTTTTCTTTTCAGTCCCACCACTACTAGTTACTGTAGCAAGTAAAGTAAACCAATTACTTAAAAACATTTACAGTATCATTAAACCATTATTACAAAAATTATTTGTAATCTCCCAAATTCAGTATTTCAGGATTATATCTAGCTGCGTGACATTTTGCGTTTGTTTTTGTCTCTGTGCAGTTGAACCCTGAAAACTTTACCCCAATAGCTATATCAACGTATTTTTGTGTTGCCTACAACTCATAAAACGTCTAGCACTGAATACTTTCTTTAGGTGTGCAAACAGGACTATAAACAGTCAGATGTAAAGTACATTTCGAAGAATATCGGAATATTTTGACCATGAATTGTAAAAGGCTAAATGTTTATTAAAAAATTCCAAAAATTAGCAGACTATTTGTTATTATTTATTAGATCGATGCCCAGTTCGCAGTAAGTCTGTGTTAACTAGAACCTCGTAACCCCGAATCAAATTCACTTCCTAAACATACATAATAACACTGAATTACTACCAGTGCTATTTTCAACCCATTGCTGGTTGAAACATTAAATGTTCCAGTAGTTTTTTCTCTCTCTCTCTTTTTAAACAAACCTCTTTTAAGCGCTGCTCTTCAAACCAGTTTCCCATTTTCACAGGTGTGCGGTAAGTTCTTATATGTGCCATTTTTCACTCAGGCAAAACTGCGAGTACATGCCGGAAACTTTAACAAGTTTAGCTGCTTTAGCTATTTTAGCTTGGTTTGTGATGTAGTCTCTATGGTAACGGTGTACTCGTCAGTTCTCGCTGATCGTCGCGAGACGTCGAGGTTGTAATTAGAAACAAAACAACTGCAGTGTAATACATTCATACAGCCATATATTTGTGTTGTGGCTTTTTAATCCGCTTTAATCTTGCTTGATTTGATTTTTTTTTAAAGTTTTTTTGCTCTATAGAGCAATTGTATTGTTTTTGTGTGTGTTTTTGAGCTGTTTTTTTTATTTTATTTTATTTTAATGGTATTGACTTGAGCCTCTTTATTGGTAATTGTATGTGCTTTTTCTATTTTGGCAACTGTAATTTATTTGCAACATTTATAAAGTACATCTTATTTTAAAAGGTTCATGGTTTATAATTTGTCCTATTTGAAATAGAATAACCCATGCATGTGAGATCTAAAAGTCATATTGTCATATCATATCAGCCGCTCACTTTGGAAGTCATCACAGCGGATCATCTGCCTCTGTCTCACTCTACCCCAGGCATCCTCTTTTATTACACCAACCCTCTGCATGTCCTCCTTCACTACATCCAGAAATCCTCTTTGTGGTCTTCCTCTTTTCTTCCTACCTGGCAGCTCCATATTCAACATCATTTGTCCAGTATATTCACTCTCTCCCCTCTGCACATGTCCAAACTATCTCAGCTACGCCTCTCCAGCGTGACCTGTCCCTCTGATACATTTTCATATTTGTCTTTATTGTTACTAATTATTCCCACCAACATACAAAAGCACAAAATAAATGAAAAAGAATTTCTGTTTTTCATTTAAGAGTGGAATAAAACAACATGTGGTCACGGCGTTGCAGAAAGCATGTAGTGTCATACAAGTTTATTTTTGTAATCCTTCACAGTTACCTATGCAATAATATTCTGTGCTTTAGAATAATACTATATGCTTTATCATTTTACAAACAGTTAAACTCTAACAGTTGTAATCCAAAGACTTGAAGAAAAATGTCCACATATCTGCTGTACATCTTTCTCTGTTTCTCTCTGTATGTTTCAGTGGCCATTGGCCCTGCCTCTGGCACCAGAACCATTCATGTGACTCGGTTTGTGGTTTCTTTCTATCGGTGGGTCACTGTCATCTTCCTCTTTATCACTCCTATCATCGCCTTCCAGCTGCAGGATGAAAATAAGCAAAGAGGATAAACAACACAGACAGAAATAACACATACCCCACATTCCCACACATCCCACATGCATGGACACAGAGACATCTGTAAACCCACCTGGGTAAAGATAAACTTGTAAACCATTCTTAATATGAGAGCAGCCCAGTACAGGTGGAGCAACTGGAGAACCAACAACATGACGTTGAAGAAATAGTAGCCAAAGAAGGCAGGATACAATTCCAGTGGGTACACCCATGTACAGTGAATCAGCCTGTGGAAAACACACTCGTAATATTTTAACATATCACACTAAGATCATCAAGATCATCACTAGGGTGCAATTTTTCTTTTAAAATACTTACCAAAAAGGAAAAACAATAAGTCTTGTCACCATAAACACGACTGCAAACACCACAAACATGCCATTAGAAGTCTGCTGCCACGTGGCGTAGTTGAATACTTTTGCACCCTATAAGGGGGGAGAGTAAATACATGTTACCTATTTTGCCATCAAATATGCCTAAAGTAACACTATACTTAAATCTATGTATATTTTGACACATTAAAAAAGCCTCCAAACACAAAGAATGAGTTTTCTTATTTTACATGCCACCTCAGAAATTGTTCACTGCCAGAGTTTTGCTGGATCACCACCTTTACAATTTTTTTTTTTTTAAGAAAAAAAGGTCATCATAAAAAAAATACAAATGCAATCATTTCAAAAGAGTGGCTGGCTGAAGTTCAAATTTTAATCAGTCTTTTTCTGACTAACTGACAATGCAACACCACATACCCATAAGTATAAGTACCCTCACTAAAGCTAATACAGCTACAGCACTGACCTCGAGTAGGATGTCAGAAGAGTCATGAACAACCATGACAAGGGTTCCGATACGGACGAAGTTTGAAATCCAGGAAAAACTCAGGAGAGTCAGTGTGGCCATATGATGAACCACCTGCTCTTTAAAGTCCTAAAAGTAAACAGGACAAATAAGACACAAAGATCACATAATACAACAGGCTTTGCCCCCAAAACTGTATTCTAAAAACACAAAAATCTAATCTAATAACAATCTAATGACATTATTACATTAAATATTTTTCTGTCTCAAAATGTGCCTTTGGGAGATGATTACACATTTAAGTGTGATTCATTTATGTATAGTAGAAGCAACAATTTTGTTTTACGTTGCTCATTTTCTTATTATTTCTAATATACAGAAATGCATATGTTGTGCCTGAATAATTGAAACCTATTATTTATTTATTAAACATTTATTAAAAATGTTTATTTATTAAAAAGCTCGTGATTGTCCTTTGGCTCTGCATAAAACATAGTGGGGGAGGTTGTATTGTGGGTAGAAAACAAATCCTCCAAGATTAAAATAAATGAAACTACTTCATTGTCACTCTACACATTTGTACACTTACTTTTCGTTTCACATCAAATGTGAGACTGAAGACCAAAGAAAGATAGAAGCCCATTTCCAACATGTAATACCAGTACTGTGATGGCAGAAGGGACTGTGTGGGGACAAGCAGGTGTGTTTTTGTGTCATTCATCATGCTGTACTGTGTAATCCATCGCAAATACCAAAGGTAAAGGCATGTACCTGTTTAGGAAAACCTGCCCAAACTTCCCTTAGATTATAAACCCAGGGTTTCTAAATCCAAGGAAAACAGTAAAGCAGAGAGTGTGATGTGAATATCAGAGAAACAAACCAACCAAGCTGGCTGTTCACTAATGCCTTGTAAGGACAGTCCCAGTACTTACATCATAGAGAGCTAGGATTCCACCAAAAAATGCAAAAAGATAAAATGCACATCTCCAGCTGTTGACAGGCAAAAGCAATAACGTCACATATTTGCATAGACATTAATCTTTTCACATCAGTGCATCTTCAGTTCACACAGACATACGCTCACCTGGCTTCACTGAACCTCTTTCGAAGCCCCGGTCGCTCCTGGTTCCTTCTCCTCCTGAACCACACCTGAACTCTCCTTTCTGGCCAGCCAGTCTTCTTACACAGAGACCACACGTCAGCCTGAGACACAACAGGAGACATTCCAGTGTTTATAACCTTTCCACATTTGGACGCACCCTCTCCAAGGTTACACAAGCAGTAAGCTTTAGTCTTTGATTATTAACACACATTAACAGTGCAATTCCACTAACATTTGTGGCAACCAAACATGTTTAAAGGGATGTGATGCACACGTAAAAAGACTTTATGATGTTCCATTAAAATGCATTTTACCTGTAGCTTATTTGAACAAAAATCTGGATTTGTTTTTCTTTTGTACTTTCAATCATTTACTATTTTTTTTGTCATATTTGACACCCTTACATGTTTCAGATCATCAAACAAATGGTATTATTAGACAAAGATAACCTGAGTAAATAGTAAATGCAGCAGTTAAATTACACTTTTAAGTATTCAAGGAAATAACCCTTTCCTGACATTTCAGGAAAGGGTTATAAAGGCTTTGGGACTCCTTGAACCATAATAAAGGCACTTATCCACAAATAGAGAAAAACCTGGAACAATGGTGAACCTTCCCAAGACTGTCCAACCTATCAAAATCACTCCAAGGAGGCTCGTCCAGGTCGCAAAAGCGCAGACCTCATTTGCCTCAGTTAAGGTTAATGATGAGGAGTTAATGATTCAACCATAGAAAGAGACTGGTCGAACATGACATCTATGTGAGAGTTTCAAGGAGAAAACCACTGCTGACCAAAAAAGAACACAAAGGCTCGGCTCATATTTGGGGAAAATATTCTGTGGACTGGTTTAAGTCCTGTTACATGTGACATAAAACTAACACAGCATTTCAGAAAAAGAGCATCATATCCCAGAACTGCTCTCCTGCTTCAAGACCTGGATGACTGAAGCTCAAGCGCGCTCAGATAGGGAGACACATATCTGAAACCTACCAGAAAATTTACGTTAATGGCTCAAAAAAAAAGTTTTTTTTTAAATAAAAGATTTTAGATTAGCGTAATCAAAGTCCAGTCTTAAATCCAATTGAAATACTCTGTCATGACATTAAATAAGCCGTCCATTGTAATGTGAAAGATTAAGTTTCAGTTATTCTAAAGACTTGATTATAGTTCTTGATAACAAGGGTGGCACAACCAGTTGTGGGGTTTATGGGTCATTGCTTTTTCACATAGGTCCAGACAACCTTTTTCCCCTTAATAATAAAAAGCATAATTCAAAAACTGCATTTTGTATTTACTCTGATTATCCTTGTCTAATAATAAAGGTTGTTTCCATCCATCCATTCGCTTCCGCTTATCCTTTTCAGGGTCGCGGGAGGCGCTGGAGCCTATCCCAGCTGTCATAGAGCAAAAGCCGGGGTACACCCTGGACAGGTCGCCAGTCTGTCACAGGGCTAACACATAGGGACAGACAACCATTCACATTCACACCTAGTGGCAATTTGGATTATCCAATTAACCTATCCCCACAAGCTGCATGTCTTTGGACGGTGGGAGGAAGCCGGAGTACCCGGAGAGAACCCACGCAAACACGGGGAGAACATGCAAACTCCACACAGAAAGACCCCGGCCTGATGGTGGAATTGAACTCAGGACCTTCTTGCTGTGCAGCAACAGTGCTAACCACCGTGCTGCGGTTGATGACCTGAAAAAATATAAGTGTAACAAATATGTCTGAAAAAAGAGATCAGGGTGGGGGCTTCACATCACTGTATTATCCATGTGTTCGCAGTAAAACTCACTTGAGAAGGAACCCGTGTTTGGCTGCAGAAGTATTTTTCTAGTATAGGGTTTTGTTCTGCTGGGAGACGTATCTTGTCCCTGATTCCCCAAAAATTAGCCAGTGGTGTGGCAAAGTACCTGAAACAGCACCAAAAGCCGGTCACTTCCTTCTAAACACAAAAAAGTCCTGGGATTCTAAAACCAGATGACTGCGTTACTAATCTCATTGACACACAGGCATATTTACTTACATACTTTGTGGTCTTACCTTTCAAACAAGTATCTGACCACAAGCAGGCAAAGGGCACAGGGTAGAGAGGCATAAAGATGAGACACTTTCGCATAGACACGACCTTCCTTGTCCTCTAAAGCAGACCAGGACAAATTTCCTGGCAGCCACAAACGATCCCACCAGATCCACTCCCCAACTGTCTGCAACATGATGCTGGAAAACACACAAAAATTACATCTAACTATCACTGTTACTCAAGTAAATAAATAAAAATCTTGTTTCCAAATTCAAATGAATTTTTTTCTATTCTTTTCTTGTTACATTTCCCTCTTTTCTTTTTGTTATCATGAAGATCTCCTGCCAAAGTAGTGTGACGCCACTGAATGAGCCACATACATATTCTTGAAACTTAACAGCGGTCACTAGATGGCATCAAGATCAGGCTGCTGCTATGATCCAAGCACATTCACAGCCAAGAAATCTACCATATGGTGCCAACTTTTCATCACAGCAGCAATTTTTGATTCGACTTTCCACTATCTTCAACTCGAATATCAATTCTCGATGTACTGGTAGTCATGAATGAAGTGAGCAATATACAGAAGAAGAACTGCGTAGATATCAAAGGGCAAGAAAGATAAAGATGGGTGAGGAGCAATTCAAAAGGGAGATTAAGGAGAAACAAAGTCCTTCTTCTCGTGGACTCTGATCATAACTGTAGATAAAAGTGTGTTTTTTGAGCAGTGAGAAAAGTACTTAAGCTGGATTGTAACTGGTTTAAATGATCAGTTAAAATATTTGCTCTAAATTTACTCGCTACGATAGACTGAGTCATATCAGTGTGTCCCTGAGCCTCAAAGGTAGTTAATAAGTCAGCATAAGAACAGTCAAATGTGCCCGCAAGCGGTGTTGTCTTGACAAGTTCTAACAATAGAGAGGGAAGCTGAGGCAGACAAAGCGACAAAGAATGATGAAACTAGAGAAACAGTTAAATATGGTGTAAACTTCAATAATTCCAGCCTTCCGCTTGATTGAAGTTATTACATCCTTTAGTTTAGGTAACAAAATACATAAAAACTAAGTATGGAAATGTCTACCCAAACACACACTCACCTTCAGTGTCCCAGTGTGAGTAGTGTCTGGTGTTTTCCTCTGCCAGTCTGTTACTCATACAACTCAGTGGTACTCCTCTTATCCACACCAGGTAACAACACTGTCCTGTGATCCTAGACGATCCCTCTTCCTGCTATTGTAAAGCCATTCTTCATAGTTATAGAAAGCAAATATCAGCTCAGTCTGCTGCCTCACTTCATCTGTACAATGTGTCTCATTGTGTGGCACTAGACTCCAGTGAGCATGTTTCTAGGCATGCGTATGGTCGCTCACCTGAATGGGATCCTTCCCTCCCACTTTGTCTGCTCTTGTGATCACACCCTTGTAGTTGCTGCAAGTCTTTTGAGATTAGCACAGCTGAGCACTGCAAACACCTTGGAGCATATTTGCATGTTGACTTGTAAGCTGCAAGAGTCAGAGGGTGGGAGTATTTGCGTCCCCTCACCTGCAAAAGAATTCCCTTGGAATGCCAGGAAAACCCCCACAAAGGTCCCATTCATTGGCAGGGCAGGGGAGGAGGAGCCAGGGCAGAAAAGCAACTGACACACAAAGAGAGTGAAACATCACTCTGTATACATAGCTAACTGGGTTGATAACAAACTTATTAATACAAATGAGATGACCTTGGACTTGGTTTTGGTTAACAGAAAGTATTTCCTTTTTCAGTTTTCTGTGCGGAAATAAAAGTAATAATTTCAAGGAACTTATTAAAGCAGTCTAGTGATTATTTTTGTGATTTCCCACTGACAATGTCAAGCTTCAGATGTTGAAAAAATAAAAGTGAACATAAAGCAACTCGTTACTAAAGCATCCTTAATAAAATGTAGAACAGTAGATAGTTTTGTTTCAACATACACCAGAAGGTGGCGATAGAGACAACATAATACATGGACCTGCTTGTCAATATACTGTACATGAGTGACGTGTTATAAATGTAGTGATGGGTCTGCTGAACACTTTTGTTCAGTTTGCTTTCTCAGAGAAGAACAAGCTGCTTTTTTATTCGTCATAGCAGGTAACTATTATATTTCAGTGGGTATATTTTGATTTTGATCTGTTTATTTATTTTGCCCTTCCTGACACAACATCAAAGAGATTTGTGTCTCCTCCCAGGAATAAAATCTTGTTAGGTCAACATGTAAACCACTATATGATTCATACAAAACTGTGCGAAAAGTCTTAAACACCCCTCACTTATTTACATTTTGCTTCCAAGGAGCCAGATTCTCTCATATTTCTTTAAAGAGGTCTTGAGCAATAGTTCTCCAGGTTTTCTTAAGTTGACTCTACAATAATAATAAAAAACAAAAACATTTTGGCATGGTGTGCACACACTGCCAGTGAAGTAAAAACACACCGCGAGGCACTATCAGTCATAGATTGGCCTCCCCAGAGCATTGAAGCAGTGTGGGATTATCTTACCAGAGAATGAAACAAAGGACACAAACATACAAAGGAGAGCTTTGAGGCTACACAACTTTACAATGAAGAACAAACATGAAAAACATGGGGGTCTTTTATTATAAGTTCATGTGTTTATATATCAAAACATCTAAAGATAAATGTAAATCTAAAAGCACACGTGCTGATTCTAGCTGCAATGAATACAATTTCATCTTCAGCTGGCCTACAAGGCAGCACTGCTGCATGTGTTGGACTGGAAGTAACAGAGGAGCATTGGCTACTGAGATGTGAGTGTAGGCAAAAAAGAACAGCCCAAAAAATATACACAGAAATAAAACAGAATACGGTCCAGTGGTTTTTTTTCACAGGTCATAGCAAGGAGACTTTCAGAGCAGTCTTTCTCTGAATTGCCCAGCACCCCCATTGTTAGGTTTAGCCTTTAACCACTGAGCAGTATAATGAGGAGTAACATGATAAAAAGGAGTTTCCATTGATGAAACTCCTTTTTATCACCACAGGTATATGCAGTGGGGACTGAAGGGTGTACCTCCAGGCACAGACAGGAGAAGGTTATCTGAATAGTCCTCTCCCTCCCTCCTCCACCCTCCTATTCTTCCACTTCGACTTGCAGCTCTCCTCATACTGGTCTGTTGCGCTTCAGTTCACTGGGGGAAGGCGGGATACGGTCTTCCAGCTTTGTAAAGCTGGTGGAATGGCTAGGCTTTTTAGAGTGCTCCTCAGGACCCTGTGCTCTTTGTCTTGGAGGCAGGGTTAAGCACCGGGCTTTGGCCCTGGAGCGTGGCTGTTGGGGTGGAGGGCCTTTCAGCACAAACAGTTCAGTTGAGGCTTTGTGCTGTTGGGCAAGTAGAGGCTGTGTAGATGATGCGGATGCCTGTGTGTGTGTGGGAGATAATGGGCTGGGCGAAGCTGATGATGAAGGGTCCAGGGAAACCAGGGGAATAAGTGTGGACTTCTGCTGGAACCTGGTGAGGCTGGTGGAGTGGCTGGGCCTTGGCAGGCTGTAGCAAGCCTCAGCCCCTCTGTGGCGAGAAGGCAGGGTGGAGCATCGGGCCTTGGCCTTTGAGCCTGGCTCTCTGGGAGGAGGTGCAATTAATGAGAAGCTCTTAGTTTCATCATCTGTTGTTGTAATCCCTTCCGTGGAGATCTTCAGACTCTGGGATGATCCTCTTTTACACGATGAATGTGACAGAGGTTCAGCATCTTTCTGGCATTCTTGTTTGGAGCCTGAGCGGGGAAGCTCCATATCTTTAATTGTGCCCGATGAGGGTTCTTCATCTATATAACAAAAAACAAAAAAATGAATCGTACGATGCAGACAATATGTTTCACAGACAAGATGACCAAAGAAAGAAGAACTTGTGCCCTGTTATTAAATTGTCTCCTCTTACCTAAGAGGCCCAGCTCACTCATGAAGACGTCCAGATCTACAGTAAAATTTTCATTCTCAACTTCCTTTGCTTCATCTTCATTTGTTCTCTGCCCTCCTTTCTCTTTTTCATCACTTTCCTCTTGCTCAAACTCTTCCTTTCCACCTTCTTCCTTCCCATCCTCCTCCTTAACATCTCCTTCTCCTTCCTTTTCTGTTCCTTCGGCCTCTCTGTTTTCCTCTTCACCTTCATCTCCTCGCTCTTCTAGACCATTTACTCCACCTTCTACCAATACATTTCCAATCTCTGGATCACTGTCACTATCTCTGCTCCTTGCATCCAAATTGATCTCAACCCCCACCACTTCCTCTTCCTCCACTTGTACTTCTTCTTGATTTTCTGGTGGTGCCTCCACCACAATGTCTATGTTGGTGGGGAAATAGGGGGCTGAGGGTTTTGTGGAGTGAGTTTTGGCACGTGCTTCTTGGTCTTGAGTCAGCAGAAACTCCATCAGCAACATGTTCTCTTTCTTCAGCTGTTCCCGCAGAGATCGTGGTACATCTGGGATCATCCAGGCAACTAACATGCTGAGGAACATGGCAAGGTTCTGATAGAAAAAACAAGTAACAAGAGTTTAGATTTTTATTTTTAAAGAGGGTTAAATAGTTTTGAAAGCCAAAAATGTATTTGTTAAAATAATTTTTTTAAAGGTACCTATGGTAAATGGTAAATAGCCTGTATTTGTATAGCGCTTTACTTAGTCCCTAAAGACCCCAAAGCGCTTTATACTACATTCAGTCATTCACCCATTCACACACACGTTCACACACTGGTGATGGCAGCTACATTGTAGCCACAGCTGCCCTGGGGCGCACTGACAGAGGCGAGACTGCCTATAGGTAAGAAAGCACTATTTTGCTGGATTAACACTGAATGCCATTAGGCAGTTTGCACACTCACTGAGATCACTTTTTATTATAAACAGATAAATATCAGATAAATAGGCCTGGTCACAGTGAAATAGAGGACATATTAATATAAATTATCCAACTTAATATCAAAGACAACACTACTGTCAGATAAAAACTATCAGCAAATATCAGAAGAGGAAAAGTTGGACTGGTGCATCTCTACTTATCTATACATTATATTAACATCCTTTGAGAAGTCACATATCAGCTGGATAGAAAGCTATTCGTGGATTTAAGTAAAAACAGAGCTGGAGACACCCTTTCAGACCAAGTGTAGCATATGTCCTACTGTAGCTAAGTAATATTGATACCTGGAAGAAAATTACGAAGGCCAGTTTTGCAGCCAGGACAGACCAGTACTGTTTAGAGAAGGTGTATGAATCTGTTGCCCACGGAGGATCTCTGTAGTCTTTATACCTGACAGAAAGATACACTGTGAGTATTAGCACAGAGAAACACGTGGGAGCACGGAAAAAAATACACACAAAAAAGCTAAAAGCTATCCAAGCCAACATTTGACAATTTCTTAAAACTCATCCTTGCACACATTTACAGTAAAAAATAAAAACAATTCAAATCCTTTTAAATCTCAAAATTGATTCTTATACTTCTTTTTCTAACCTCTCATTAATTTCCACACAAATACTCCACAAAAAGTTTTATGAATGTTTTGTAAATGCACTAAAACAAAAGCCTGAAACGTCCCATTTTACATACATTAAGCATTCAGAAGTTTCTCTCAGTACTTGGTTAAAGCAGCTTTGGCAACAGCCACGGCCTTTCTTTGGAATGATCTTACAAGTTTGGCACATGATTGTTTTGGAAGCTTCGCCTATTCTTCTTGGCAGAACTGCCTGGTGTCACTGCACAGCCACGTTCCCGTCTCTCAGGTCTTGCCTGTGGTTGGGTCATTCTAGGTCGTGTTTTTGTGTTTGGGGTGGTTATTTGTCATCGGTTGCAAAAGACTTTCACTGAAAATTAACATTTTTTCTGCAAGCATCTTTATCACTATCCCGTCTTGTCTTCCACGCCTTGTTGTAATAAAAACAAACAAAAAACAAAACATAAACATCCCCATTGCATTACGTTGTCACGAGTGCCTTAGTCTGTACAGACAGTGTTAATGAAGTCGGATCTATTTTCTCCAAACAAAACTATAAACTGCTTGATAAGAAACTGCTCCAAAACTTGCTACACTACCACGAGGGCCTGACTGGTGGACTGCTACACCAGTGATGGTCCCATCTCCACATAAGGATCTTTCATAGTGACCACTCGCTTATTATTTAAATGTGTGAACAAGTCCACGAGGGGCTGGGAGACGATGCAGATATGCTCTCCCTGGCGCTGCGTGATTTTCTCTAAGGTGTTGAATTTCCATGCACAGCTTAAAAGACATGCATGTTAGGTTAAATGGTGATTCTAAACTGTCTGTCTGTTTCTATGTGTTGGCCATGTGATGAACTGCCAACCTAACCAGGATACACTCTGCCTCTCGCCAAATGACAAGTGAGATAGACTGAGAGAGGAATAATCCGTTAAGAAAACTGCTGGCTGTGTAGCTGAATGGATGGATGGAAATTTTGAAGCGGATACTGGATGGATATGAGCATGAATCACAGTATGTCCCTCAGCGTCTGCTCTGTGATAAGCCACTGCTCTTCCAGTATCATACAGGATACGCTACGGTTTGGCCTTCAATCTGACATCCACCATCAACAGGAAGAATTTATATCGACAGGTGTGTGCCTTTTCATATAGGCTGTACCCAGTTAAGTTGCTGAAACATCTCATTAATTTTTAACAGGATGCACCAGAGCTCAATTATAGCCCCATAAGGTCTGAATACTGAAGTAAATTGTTATCTTTAATACATTTAACAATACCTTCAAAAAAAGTTTGCTTTGTAATTTTCAAGTATCCATGAAGACTCATGAAAAATGAATCTGACACATGACAAAATGTGGAAATCTTGAGGAAGTCTTTTTGTATATGTTCCAGGTAAAGCGCTAAGCTGCCGGACTAAAGGATTTAAAGAAAGTTCCAGGTAGGTCAAGGTTAATAGAGTGACTCTGACCTGCACATGGATACTCCAGTGATAAGGGTGGTGTTTGGCGCTGTGCCAGAGGGGAAGTTGCTGACATCGAAGTAGGACAGCGAGTGCTCCGTGTATCCGCTCATGGTGCCATTAGCGCTGTACATGTACTGGTAAACCATTCGTGGAACAAACTCTGATGTGAAGGAGATGACAAATGCCTAGAAAGACAAACAAGGGGTGAAAGTTACATTAGCAATAAATAACTTTATGGTCTAATAATAAGAATAACGGAACATTGGTAATACTGTCTATTTTTTTGTCTGTAGCTTTTAAAGAAATATTACGTTTTTATTTAAAAATAATTTGGTGTTTTAATTAAAGTTTTGATTTATGTCTGTGTTAAAATATTACAATATATGATTTGAACAATTATACCTGAGCCATCAAATTGACAAGATTTGTCAAATATATTATTGTCAGGAAGGGTTTCTGGTGTAATCTGCCAAAACAAACACGTCGAGCTGTGGCATCCCTTTGAGAATAAATGAGCCGAAAGCAGTTTATATATAGATCCAAGCACCACAGAAGTGCTCCACCACACAATAAAGGATAGTGGTAAGCAGCATGTTTTGTTTTAAAAAGTGGGGGTTTTTTTCACCATTTAAAATGCAATAATATCTACATAACTATCAAATATACAATAAACGTGACATAACAAAAAGAATTGTAAACAAAATCTAAAAACATATATATAAAGAAAGTATTATTCCCCTGATGTTTTCATATTAAAAAAGTGTATTATTTTGAAAGAAAAAATGATAGTGATGACATCACTCAATTCCCAGGATTTCCTCTGACATATTTACTGAATTGCTCACAATAAGACCAATGCCTCTTTTCATTTATAAGAACTTTTCTCTTTTATTTTATAATTTCATAAAAAAGGTTTAGTTTAAGATTTTACCTTACCTTTAGTGAATTGTAAGAAAAAGAACAAAATAAAAACTGATTAAATTAATGACTCCAATTTACAGAAAACATTTCTTTCTCATTATTAATCCTCCTTTTGTTTGATATCTCCAAACTGAGTAGGGTTTTTTTTCCGATCACATCAAGCAAGGTGTTTAATATTTGATTTCGACACATTAGTAATTAGTAACTGTGTGGGTTAGGATATACAGGATTGCGTTATTATTCATTTTTAGCTGTAATTCTAATATTTATATTGTTATTAGCAAATGCACAAATAAACAAATGTCAAACAGCCACAAGCTGAACAAACCTGACTGTAAATAATAAAATGAAATCTTGTTTCCTTATCCTAAAGAGGCTGAGGAATAATATTTTGTAAAGCCTTTAAACTTGCCAAAAGAATATGGTAACACCAGTGACAAAACGAGTGACAAATAAAAAAGGAAATCAGTATTTTTAAAATTTTAATTTGTTGCATGTCTGTTGTGAAATTGGTAGACCTCTAAAAGAGCCAACCAAAAAAGTCCCGACTATTTCAATTTGCAACTTAAATTATATTATATTATATATTATATTATATGTTTAAAAGTACACTTTGTTACAACTGTTCCACATGTGTTTGCAGCATTTCCATGCTATGACACAGAAATGCTGCAAACCAGCATCAAAGTGAAAGGAGGAAGATTTTAAGTATACTGCAAATTCAAGTATATGAGCAATTAAAATAATTTAAAGCTGCATTAAAGTTGCTTTTGAGCTCAGAGACCTGCAAATTGTGCCACACCTCTAGCTGCCATAGAGTGTCTTGTTACAATATTATGACTTTCAGTAAACAGAATTTAATTCGATGGACTGAACATTTGCACTTATTCAGCAAGGACATAGCAGCAGCATTAAGTTGCAGTTAAACTGGAGTTCCCTTCAGTATACACTTCTCTGCCAGAAGTCAAAGGTTATAGAGAGAAGACTCATACACGCACACACACTTACATTGGTGATGACAGAGAATTTGCTGATTCCACAAAGGATGTTGTACCAAATCCCTGGAGATAGCATGCACATGAAAAGAGACAAAGGGGGGAAAAGAAGTGTGTCGATCCATGTGTATCAATGTGTGTGCGCATGCGTGTATTCATGTAAAAGAAAGGAAAGAAAAAGAACTTGATTAGAAATTTAGGGATAGGGTTTTTTTTTTGTCACATTCACACAGAGGAAGACAGAGAGGACATGAGCACATGTGAAATCTGTACCTATGTCTTTGCACCTCACAGCATCGGGACGCCGGATTTCGGTGACAAATTTTGCAGCGTCGAGGCGAATCTCGATGACATTGTTGAGCAGCGCAAACGCTGGTGCCAGCGGGAAGGAGGCCACAAACAGAGTCACAAACCCATACTGGATTACTGTATATGTCAAGACATGCACACATGGTTACAAGTTAATGCAGGTTCATTGCAGTATTGAATGATTTTGTGAATAAATATACATCCAAGGGACCAGAAGAGACTTACTCATTTCCATGTATTCTGGACTGACACCTTCAAACGGTTCGAGGGTGAAATCCTTGTCAAACTGCTGTTTCGGTCGCTTCTCCTCTGTTTCACTGTCCTCATCTTCTGCTCCTCTATTCTTTCCTTTTTGTTCCTGTATTGTTCTGTACATCTTTTTCAACTTACTGTAAAACAGAAAAGATATATTTACAGAGTCAAATTACAGATTCAAATTCTGTACATTAAGCAGTATCTGGGAACACTTACGGTACGAGTATCTCAAACACATTGTTTTGGATGAGTTGTTTTCCGAGCATGATCATGCTGAGCTGGATGCACAGCTCAATGAGGCAGCCAGGAGGGGCACACTATAGAAGGCAAAACACACATTTACATAAAAGACTACAGATCATTTATCTTACACGTACATACACAAAACAATAATCACTGATGTGTGTAGTGCAACAAACCTCCTCCATGCGATAGTCTCCAAAGACATAAACATAATCGCCAGGCCGCCCAGCAAACCTGTATGAGGAGAGGACCAAGTCACGTGATAAAGGAATGAAGACACACAGTGCAGAGTGAGTAGGACAAACTCATCTCAGCAAACTAATCATGGGGCAAAGAGTATGTTTGTGTGAGACAATATATATGAAATGTAGCATATGAAGAGGAAATATATTTAATTTGAATGCAATTTTCCATTCCTTTGCTAAGTAAATACATTAACCATATAGGAAGAGAAGGTTTGTGTTGCCTTATGCAATTTCAACAGCTTAATTTCTATCATACTCTGTCACAGTCTGCATAACTATTGCCATTAAAACTGTATAAAAATGTATTCTTTCACCATTTTTTAACTAAATGCTGGCATACGTGAGATGACAAAAGATTGAAAGTGATAGTACTCCATTATGACTTTGTGGTCACTCGCATTTTTCCCTGTTGGCTGTATCTTGGGCAGCAAAAGACGGCAACAGGTTAACCTGCACTCGACCCATGATTACAGCCTTCCCTGTTTGCTTCACAGCCATTGGATACAAGCCAGACATTAGAAAAGTATCTCTCCTGCAGTGCTAATTTTAGAAAACTGGTGACAATCAAAATGGTTAATTATCTCTACATGTGAGACGACAGACAAAGGATAAAAATGCTGTGTAGTCCCACATCAAATGGGACCCCAGGTCACTTTATGAGCTTGTGAAGAAAGACAAAAATACAGACCTGCCCTTGAAGAAGGCCACATAGAAAATTGGTGCAAAGGCGTTCATGGATTTGAGGAAGAAGGACTTGAATATTAGTCTCTCTTCAAACTCCTCCGTTGTCTTTGGAAGTTCTGTTGAGACATGACTTAATTCTATTAATTCCAATTACAACTTTAAACACATCGCCTGCATCATCAGTTTCTTTATACTGGTTACGTTTCACTAACAATATCACCAAGACCTGTTGTACTAAAATGCATGGTGAAGTATCTAATCGTGTTAGATGATACAGTTAGTTACATGAAAATGAAAACTCAAACAGCAGAAGGCTTAAAGACAGATCTTGTAAAACAGAGTGGACAATGTTAGAGCTGTCTCAACAACAGTGACACCGTTATAATCAGTAAAGATGTTTCTAGAATAGAATCACTGTGGCTTCGGGTGGTTTTCATCTCTGTGCTGTGTTGCCAGTCTTGTGTTCATACATATAAAAATAGATCACATGTGTGTCTTCACACCTCACCTGCTTAGGATGAGGTTATGTGCTGGAGTGTGAGACTGTAGCCTCATGTTTATACTGTCAACTGATAATTTTGTGACAATGAGTTTCAGGTAATTTTAAGTAACACAAAAGTAATGTAACAAGTACTGTAATGAATTACTTTCTCCAGGGAGTAATCAGGTAATATAAATTCAGGAAAATGCGGTAATGTGTAATGCCTTATTTTCTTGAGTAGTAAATTATGTTTGCTGGTGAGTGTCCAGTTTTATAACTTGTTTTACCTTCAAGATTTTACTGCTTTCTGTCTCCAATTTAAACAATTTCAATGATTAAACTTTCTAACAGCATTAAAAAAGTACCAAGCTCAGTTAGCCACACGGCGATCGCTCCGTAGACCTCTTCCAACACCAGAACAACCAGCATGTTGAGGATGATGCCTGTGGTTGTGACTGTCATCCTAACGCTGGCCTTGGCCTCCGGATCAGGGTTCATGGACCACACACTCAGCATGCAGATGCGGTAAACTGCCACCCCGAACACCGCTGAGAAGGTGATGAATATCTGAAGACACAAAAAGTTTATAAAAACTTTAAAGTTTATATTAAAATATAAAAACCTTCTGATTACTGTTAAATACAAACAAATAAAAATACAAATAATGATAATAATAATAATAATAATAATCTCCCTTAAGAAATCAAATCAACAAAAAAGAAAGATAGAAATGTGAGAATAAGAAGAAAGAATGATTGCAGTACCAGCAGTAGTAAGGTGGAAATATTGATGAGATAACCTGGCATGTGATCCTCTATGTCCAGTGACTCGGGCTCTTGCTGCCAAGAAAACATGCATATTATTTTTGTTCTCATCATCGGTATATGAGTTAGCACTGTGCATTAATGCACTGCACATGTTCTACACACACACATGCACACACGTTTTTGTTTCTGTCTGGCAGGTGCGTGTTTGCCATCTCAAAGGACAGAAATCCCCTCCCCTTCTTCCTCTGCTCCCTTTTCCCTCTCCAACAGTAATCTGGGCTAATCTCAGGCAGGTAAGCTGCTTTGGACTCAACCATCCACAGTAGGTGTAGGGGGGTTTATTATGAACCAACATAAAGTCATACACACACAGGTAGTCTATATTAAATCTACAATATATGAAAAACCCAGATAAACTGTAAGATTTGCTTTTCTGGCAGTAATTTACTTAACTTCATTGAGGATAAAGTAAATCGGGGAGCGACATTATCTGCTAGCAGTGATGAAAGAAGTTTAAATACAGCCCTGCCCTCTACCCCCAGCAGCTCTGTCCACATAATGTCCTGTCACTCAGGGCAGTGTAGTGATACCTGGTAGGCCAGCATCTGGTCTGTTTCTCCATCTCTACCGTCCCCAGACTGAGTCATCTGCAACAGAGGAAAAAAGACACAGTGAGTGGGTGAAATCTGTGTCTTTTGTGTGGCAAGTTATAAAACTGAATGTGAATAAAAACACACATTATACCTTTTTTGCAGACTGTGCTTTCATCTTGGCTTTTTTCTCCTGCAGTGCTTCTTCATATTCAGGTCTCAGCTCCTCCTGCAGCACACACACACACACACACACACACACACACACACACACACACACACACACATTTAAAACACATGCACTAATGTCTGGCATCTGCCATTACAAAACCATTTATTTTGTGTGAATTATTTACACCTTTGATGTAAGTGATTTCAATCTGCAACTGTGACCATTAACTGAGTTTTTCAATTGCTGATGTTTAGAATTAAAATTCTCAACTGTAGATACACAACCCATTAAATGCCAACACATTAAAACATTAACAATGAATTTATTTCACAATGCATAAAAAATGGCTACAGAAACTTGCGGGTAAAGAAACCTGCCCACCTGGACTCGCTCCTTCGGGCAGGAGACAAAGTGACGAATGAAAGAGGCAGAGACAGATATGCACACACAGTTAGAAAGGGAAGAGAGAGAGTAAGAAAGATTAGCTGTTTTCATAAATGAATGATGTTCATGAACTCTGTAACACACAACAGATAATTCTCTGTGTAATATATTTATTAAAAAATAGTTCATTTGAATAAGAATTTGGAAAAAAAAAAGATGGATGGACGGTTCTGGGGAGGGGCCACATGTCGTTGCTATGAATTTCATGAATTTCAACTATTTCTAAGACACACTCATTGGCTAGTTTATTCAGTACACCTTGCTAGTCTCTGGTAAAGACCCACTTGAGCCTTAGACTTAACAAGATGATAGAAACCTTCCTGAGAGATTTTGGTCGATATCAACATGACAGCATCACACAAGTTGCTGCAGATTTGTCGGCTGCAAATTCATCATGGCAATCTCCCATCCCACCAAATCCCAAAGGTCCCCGATTGGATTGAGATCTGGTGTCTGTGGAGACCATTTGAGCATAATGAACCCCTCGTGATGTTCAAAAAACCAGTATGAGATTATTTAAGCTGTGGGCCATGGCATGTTATTCTGGTGGAAGCAGACATCAGAATAACATGGTCATAAAAGGATAGACTTATATTCAGGTAGGCTGTGGTGTTAAACAATGCTTAAGTGGTACTAAGGAGCTAAACGTGTTCCAAGAAGATATCACCTACATCATTAAACTGAACCATTCATACAAGGCATGACAGAGTCTTTCTGTTGCTCATGTTTCAAAATCTGACCCTGCCATCCAAATGTTGCAGTAGATATGGACCATTTTTTTTTCTACTGTGCACTTTTGGTGAGCCCAGAGTAACTGCAGCCTCAGTTTGTAGTTCCCAGCTGACAGGAGTGGCACACAGGGCTGCCGTAGGTATCCACTTCAAGGTTTGATGTGTTGTGCACTCAGAGACGCTCTTCTGCATTCCTTGGTTGTAACAAGTCGTGATTTGAGTTACTGTTGCCTTTCTGACCTCTGGCATCAGTAAGGCATTTTCTGGATATTTCTCTTTTGGACTTTTGGACTTAGGGACTAGTAAAAGCGCTATATAAATACAGGCCATTTACCATTTCTCTTTAAATTTTAGAAATGTTTGCGGGCGAAAATCCCAGTAAAAAACTAAAGTAAACAGTTTTTTATACTTGGACCTGGATCTTGGATCTGAGATCTATAACAGTGACATGTTTAAAATCACTTTATTCCCCATTCTGTTTGAATTTTAGCAGAGCATGTTGCCTAACGTCTATATGTTTAAATGGATGGAGTGGACGAATGGAGCTGATGTTATGCGATTGGATAGCAGGAGTACCTAATGAAGTGGCTGGTCAGGGTACATTCTCATGTACGTCCGCTGGATAATCTCAAGCGAAGTTCAAACAGCTATAGTTGTTCTAGGCTGTGTCTGTGTATGTTATGACCCTGCTTTGTCATACTATCCAGGAAATACCCTTTAAGAACTCGCCAATCCCATTACCACACTTAACACCCTAAACACATGGATACATGGGTGCCTACAGGTATGTGTATGTAGGGGATGGGCGGTGTTCTGAAACAAATGATAATCTACAAGGTAAACCACAACTTATCCCTGCCGTCAAGTGTCAAGAGGTTAAAACTCTGGGCTTGACTTACATGGGTTATAAAAATAGAAAGTGAAAAAATAAAATTATGTAATAATTTGATTCATTTTCATTTTCAGTTATTAGAGCATAGTTTTTTTTTAAATTGTACAATATGCCAAATCTACTTCATTACCTCCTCATCCTCGAGGCTCGTCAGGTCCCACGTATGTTTCAGATACATCTGCCGCCTTTTCCAGTGCTCAAGAAACCATGCAGCTACAAAAAAATGAACATAAGGAATTCAGAGAAATTTAAAAAAATATAACGATTTTAAAAAAATTATTTGCATTCACTAGGTTAAAAAAAATCTATTTTGGCAGGAAATTTATTCACAAACATATCCTAAATGTGAATGTGTTCAGAAAATTAAATAAGCCTGTTTTTTTACAAAATAAGTAGCTTCATATCTTAAAATGCATATCTGGGTTAACTGAAAGTTGAATTAAGAAATCTAAGTGTTTATTAAATGTCTGTCTATCTACTGGAGTTGCTGTGTTAAAACTTACTGCGTATGCTGTAACAGGGATATGCATTAAAGTGTGTATAGTTACCCCACAGAGACATGAAAATAGCAAAGAGGACAGTGGCTCCATTGTCAAACAGGTATGAAGCTCGGGCCAATGAGCACACCGAACTCAGACGCCAGTAGTCGCACACGCCATCACAAAGTGGACACATGGTGATGTTCAAGCTGTCATTACACGTCTCCTGACTTAAATACACATGTTAAAACAGCACATGCATAATAACATTAACACTGTGTGTCAGTAATACACTTTTGATAAGCACAAACAGATTTGAAGACTAATTAGTATCTACCCACCTTGGCACATTGGTATCCACAGTAAGTATGCCGTATAGGAAGACAATGATGCCCAGTACTGAAGGAGGGATGAGGAGCTGAGTATAAACACCCAGCCATGCAAAATACAACCCAATCTGTTCTCCAAAGTACTTCCTGTAAACAAAGGAGCAACGTGCAGGCTATACATTTTTGTAAAGTGGAAATGTGAAGAGCCAAGGACATATGCTATTTTAGACTCAAGCGGTGTTCAATTTAAAAACACAAGAAAAAACTGATCTCACCTGAGAAACATTAGAAACCTTAACGTTTACTTGGCACATCCATGAACTTTATTATTAATAGTAGAATTAGTACTTTTAGTTTAAAACTTTGACTTGGCATCTCATCTATAATAATAATAATAATGATAATGGCAAGCCTTAAACACCTATATTGTTTCTTAAAGATCAGTATTAGTGGCTGTAATGAACAATACACTAAAAGCTAAAGCTATAGCTAGAAATTCATAGCTCAGTACCTGATAAGATCTACAGGCTGGTATTTATGCATGACTCCATAGTTAGCCCATTCTTCATGGAGGAGCTGAAAGATGCACAAGAACATGACAGGAAAGTTTATAACAGTTAATAACTAAAATGTCAGATGCAATGTTTTCAGGCCTTTCATTATAAATGTCAGACCTGTGGACCTCACCCAGAGTGTTGATAATAAATAATCAAACTGTATTAAGATTTTGAAAGAACTCAAACTACTGGATCACATATAGATTTGTACATTGTACTATTTTTAAAATATGTTAGCGCCTAAGCGCTCTGAAGCTTGGTTAGCAACAGCAAAGATTTTATCCCTTAAATGAATGCATCACCTCCATCGACTTCATCAAGGATGTTCCAGAGGCACAAAACATTTTGTCAACACATGCTTATCCACATCCAGTTAGAGAAAACTCACCTGTCTATCATTTCTCTGATCTTTCCGTCCTCTCCTTGTGAATGACCCCTAAAACAGAAAAAGTGATCAGCTCTCTATAAGACACATAGTGGTTTACTTTAAATCATATTAAATCCACAGGATTGAGGTGAAGATGAGGTTTTTAGGAGTTGTACATTTTTTTGTTACTTATATACAGTAACTGAGCAGAACAAAAGCACTTCAAGCAGAGGTCTTCATTTTACTTACGTCATGCAGAGGGAAAGCAGCAACATAGACACCCCGAGCCAGTAAAGAGTTGATGCCTTACAACACAAGAAGGTAATGTAACACACAGGCAGTTTAGCTACGACTGTCAGCATGACTCTGAACAATATGAAACAGAAAAAAAGTAGATCTCACCGGTAGTTTGGCAAGAGTGTCTGCAAGTAGTACGTGAAATAATCTCAGCTACCTAGAAGCACACGTAACATAGTATAGAAATTTTAAGTGAGCTCATTTATATTTAAACTTTAGATTTCAGAATCTTTTTTTCATGACAAAAACTCCTGGACTCACTATTCTGCTCCGCGTCGCATTGTCAAACAGAGTCTCTGTTGACTTGATGTCATAGCTGTAGGGACAAAATAAATTAGGGTTAAAAATAAAGGCTGTTCTCAAAAGTTTTGCGAATGGCAAGTTCCTTTTTTGCGTGTTTCAGTGGCATACAAAGTTCTGAATTAGCTTTATATTAAAATATAATACCTACTGAATACCACTTTGATTTTTCAGTCACCAATAAAACTATGTGTGTCCAAAGCTAAGATTATCCTTATTATTCACCAGTAAGTGTGATCATCTATGTACTCACAGATGGAGTTTGTCTCTGATAAAAGGGTGTTTGAGGGTTTTAAAATTGACGCGTGTCTGGGAGTCCCTCTGGATGTCAAAATCAGGGACGTCCGGCTGAAACGGTGTGTTGATTTTAGTGGCAACAGAATCCCACATCCCAGCAATCCCTGTCCGTTTCCGCAATTCACATTTCTACAGAAAGACGACACACATGAAAAACATTTTGATCAAAGCTACTTGGTCATTTTCCACAGTTTTCCAAACTGCAAGTCCCCGAACCAAATTAAAAATCTCAAAAAAATGCTCAAAATGTACTACTGGTAAATAAAACTGGAATTTCACTGACCAAGATATGTTACTGACTGCGTGAAACTGCTGACCTTTTTTACCGCGACTTTGATCTTCTGCAGCTCCGCTTCTCGGCTCAGTATTGACCATGGGATGTGCAGTCGAATAAACCCCATGCCGTTTGACCTCTGCACATCAGCACACATATTGCCAGAGACTCATTAGAAATGTGAAGATGGCAAAAAATTACATTCATAACTAAAATATATGCTTCTCTAAACCTGTCAGGATGACACATTTGATTATATTTGATGAGGCTGTTTTGTAAGAAATCCCATTATCACAAATCCAGGACCACTCAATCCTGCAAAATATGGAAAACTGCAGATAACTGTTGGGACGCTTTCCTGCAAATTGCAATGATGTACCCAATTATCGGTTCTGATAATATGAAATGTGGTCAGTTACTGAGCTTCTTGAGCTCTGTCTTCCTGTCTGCCAAAGCAATTACTGCAGTGACCACATTGCTAGGCAGGTACAGCATCACAAGCTCAAACATCACCTCCCAGATATGGCTATGTTGTGCATTTACAGCAGTAAATCCGTAACAGCCTTTTTCACATGTATCCTGAGCCTCAATGGGGACAAGTAATGAATATTGTAAAACATAATAATGTTATTGCTAGCTTTAATAACAAAAAACCTTTCGATGTTATAGCTAAGACATGATCAAGCACACTATTCCTTTACATATAAATACTTACTAGTCGCAGCCAAATACATGTATGTGCCAGCCAGCACACGCTTCACAGTATTAACTCACTGTTTAATAAGGTCCTATAATCTGGCCTTTGGCTTCGCCCTTACAATCAATGCTCTTAATCCCCATGTAAAACAGCAGCCAATTTAACCTACGAGCTCTGCACAATCAAATAGACAGAAAGAAAAATCACACACTAAATGCATTTATGTGCAAAGACACAAATAGGATAGAAACAAACCTTTTGTACATTGTGTTCATGAAAAAATAAATCCGGCACTATTTTGTTGTTAGTTGTGTATTTTTTAACGTATTATTCAATCATACACCACTGAAATTAAGCATTCTATTGTGCAGACGAAGCTTCTAGCTTCAGCGGGCAGGCTTATGGTTTACCTGCTGGGCAGCTGTCCAATCATAGGATTTGTGGTCGAATCACTTAAGGGCAGTCCAAAGCTGTAAACAACAATATTCACTGTGAAAGCTCTGTAAAAGCACATACACACCTCCTTATCACGCTCAATCTGTAGCCCAGCCTCCAGCAGGCCTGCTTCAAACTCCTCCCTCATTAAAGCTTTTTCCTCCTCAGTAAGCTTAGACTCTTCCGCGTCTCCCGCATGAGCTCCCGGCTCCCCAGACTCTGCTTCCGCTTCCCATCGACCTTGTATCGGGATTGGCATTGGTATAGGTATCGGTAGACTCCCGTTAGATGAAAGGGAAAGACGCGACTTTGATGTTCTCCTTTTTTTGTATTTGTAGCAAAGCACGTAGTCCACTTTCCTCTTGCCATCAGCAAAAAAAAGCCCAGGGCCAAGCTCAATGCCAGACTCCTACCAAACCAGAAAACAAATATTATAATTTGGCTGAGTGATGAGATAAAGGCTGTGATTTTAGGGCAAATACTGTACTGGCAACGTGGCAACAGTTTAAATGTGACATCTCCAGAATAAGAAAGCAGAGCTGTAGGAGGAAAAGATGCGCTACAGACGTGGGATGTTAAAGCCAGCGTTCAGGTGCAACCATACCGGAGGTGGAGGCTCGTCATTGTCATCGAGGTTGACAGGGCCTCCATTTGCGGCGTCAAGTCCGAGCCCAGACAGTGATCGGGCCAATGAAATAAGCTTCTGTGAGTGAAAGGACGATGACTCACTCATTGCTGTGGTTAAGGGCATACATTCGTTTCCGTTTCATCCCTCTGTGGGCACATGAAAGAGAAAACAAGAGTTAAGTGTTGCCAAAGGCCTGCCAGGAGAATATTAATATATAACTTAATGCAACTGTTTTGTGCTCTCATTCCTGTAAGTAAAACTTACAAGTATAACTTATAAAGTGATGACATGTTATCTAACATTCATTAGATACCTCCTAATTAAAAGAACAAGGAAGCGAGTCAAGGTTTATTTTAATTTACCTTTAATTATTATGTTTTTTTTAAATGCCCATGTAATTATATATCAAGTCAAGAAGACTTTTTTTTGTCGACCTAACAATATACACTCATGTATACAATGGGATAAAAAATCATTATTGTATGGGAAAAAACAAATAATAAAACTGAGGCAAATGTTGTCTTCTCAGTCTTTTTGCAGAAAATATGAAATATTTCGACTGATCCTTAATTTAAGGTCAAATAATATATCTGAGAAAACAGTAGGGGCTCTTTCAGACTGACAGATAAACTCAAAGCCAAAATTAAGCTGTCTTGTCTCCCTTTTTTTTACTCAATTGAAGCTGTAGGCTCAGATTAAGCCCACACTGCAATCCAAGCAGCACAGGCTGCAATCTGTTGGGACAATTTGGTCGCTGAGCTCAGACTCTGGTGCTAAAGAATGAGGCGGCATCTCGAAAGACTGTGACTCGCACTCTCGTTATTGCTGTGAATCCCTTGAATTCACAGAAATAAAATATGGAGTCATTTCTTTGGCTTGACTTGGAACTCCACATTAACTTTTCAGCACAATGTAGACTTTTACACAGCTCTTTTTGAGGCTTTTGGAAGGTTTTTTTTTTAAGTCTTTTTAGAGCAGATCAGGTGAGGCATAGCAAAGAGCAACAAAGTCAGCTATAAGAGTTAGACATTGTGATCACCAACCCAGGACAGTGAGGTTTGTGGCCCATGTGAAACCAAAAGGCGAATTTGACTTTTGCTTTGAGCACGTTTGTGCATACTAATGCACTGAAACAGGATCAGAGCTCGTAAGATTAAATACGTCAATTTCACTTTCATTATTATTGTTTTCTTCGAGCTTCAGTTATTCAAAAGATGTAACAGTCTATTTAGTTTTTCTTAAACGTAAATTGAAAAAACAAACACATTTTATAATAAACTATGACTAATATTTTAACAGCGGCTTTACATTTCACTCTGCACAGCCAAGAACAGCATCATCCTTTCATCTCTGTCTGATGAATTCTCCTAAAAAAAAGTGTTTAATAAGTATAATGCTTTCTGTTTTTATTCCTCCCTTCTATCCCCTCACAGGAAAATGTTTGAAAAAACTAGCATTGCTGAACATAGTAGTACAAGATCACATGTCAAAAAAACTGACAAAAAAACAGTTACAGTCCATTTCGATGCAATATAATATTGTCCATGTGCTTTGAGATACTATTATATTTATGTTTCTGAAACTGATAAGAGGTTAAAACATGTCAAATCTGAAAAAATCTTTCTTTATTTAAAAACTTTTATGTTGTCACCAAAACATCTCAATATGTGTTTTGAAATCTTTATTCAGTCTGAGTGATTTTTTAAGCAATATGTAGTTTTTTCCCCCTGCATGATCAGTACAGTACATTTTCTTTATCACTATTTGTATATTGTCATATTTTTAATTATCATAGCATGTTTTTCAGTGTAATTTGCTTAGTTAGGGCTATAATTGATGGGCTACTGTATAAAGATGTACAATATAAAGAAAAAAAATTTTTACTCAGATGCTACGCTAAAAAAATGTTTTGGGGGTCAGGGGATCTTCTTCTGTTTTTTCTGGAGTTTTGGTTGCCAACTGATGATGTTTTGTTATAATTCCTTTCATCTGTTGACCAATTAGAGCTTCAGAAAAACAATGCCAGCTATTTCTTTTCCTGAAGGATTGAACACAACATTTTTAAAATAAAATTTTTTTAAATATTAAGATTACTTCTTGGAACCGAAAATGGTCACAATGTTTGCATCATGATTACACTTTGTATGTTGGTAAAATTGTATTAAAGTCCTACCAACCTAAAATACTAAGCCTCCAGATACACAATTACACTAACAGCCAACAAACCAGCATGAGTACAACAAAAACGGCAACAACTTCAACAGTCAATCCCCTTACACATATACACAAACATCCACGATAATCCCAGTTATCCAAGAGTCAGCAAACACAGCTTGACACACACTGGCAAGACATTGCAGGTAAAATTGCAGGTTACTTTCTTTTCTTCTGCATTTTTAGCACAAAGTAAACATTCAAAACAGATATTGATGTTCCTGTTTGACTACACATGGTCTATTGGACATTTATGATTGGTCTGTTTAATTATGTAATGTAGGTAGGGTGTTTTAGATTTCTCTCTAATAATTTTGCAAACGGGTCTGGTTTGTTGTTTTAATTTCATTTCCATTGGATGTTCCATATTTTGAGCCCTATTCAATTAGCTTATTAGTCATAGTGCCATTTCTTCTGTGGCTGAGATTCTTGCTAAAACTGTTCATATATAATAATATTTATGCACACTTTGCAGTTAACCGAATTAATCATGTCCCATTAACATACCACAGAGGTCCATCATTAATCTGCTGGAAATATTTAAGCCTGGAGCTTGGGTGCTGGACCACATCTAAAACTCCTTTCTGTGTGACAATTAAGATTTAGATTCACACAGTTCTCCTCTTTCCTCTTGTAGATCCTGAAACCTTCCCCACGCTTCTGTCATCATCTAAAGCCACCACTGACATCAGTTTCCCCCTCCCACAACACTCTTATAGATTTATGCCTCTTTCCAGCTATTAGGTCAAAACTAAGACCTCAGATCTAGAAAAACAAAAACAAAATACAACTGGATTAAAAAAAAATTGGTCAAGAAGTTCTCTTCTAAGAGAATATTATTCCCCCAAATTATCCTTTTTGGATTTCATCTTTTAATCAATAAATTAGCATCTTAATGATAGTGTGGTAATTGCCCCTGACTACTAATATTCTCCTCATGTTTTATTTATTTGAATATTTTTTACTGACTTTTATCCCCCAAGTCTGTTTTATGACGTATTTGTCCTCCTTTCCTGGTAACTTTAAAGCAGGCACCGGAGGAGTGACAACAGAATTGCGTGTGTCTCAGCATGGGGCTTATAGGCCTGTAAGCTTGCTGACAGCTCAACCCGAGACGCCGGGGGTCAGATGTACCTGCACACTAACTTTAATGTGGCGCTGCTCTAATACTGTCTCTCCTGAAGCACCCACCCATCGCTAATTTCAAAGAACCGCTTGTTACTTTCCAGCACAACAACAGCAAGGAGAGCTCAAAATGACTTGCATCAAACTTTCACTCGAGCCTACACAGTTCCCTCTAAGACTATCATTGAAGCCTAAATCTAAATCAGCATAAAAACATCGACAAGAGACGTCATCAAATTATCTAATTTTCATTTTGACTAATTAATCCCTGGGCAGTTGCTTTGGTGATTCGATAAATATGTTTAATTGGATGCTCGTTGGCGCAACAGTTGTGCGCACGCAGATGGTGGTTTGGGGGAAAAAACACAGTCTCAGCACACTGACACGCACCACTACATCCATCGGGGGATTTCAACAGTAGCAGTAGCTCAAGTCATGGGTATTGTAAACACTTGCAAATAAATGAGTGGTAAAGTCCAAATGACCCTTATAAATCGGACACCATAGGATATACCTGTATATGCCTGAGTGCTGGATAGCAAAATGATGCGCGCTTTTTTTAAAAAATTTGCACTTCCGATGAAAGAAAGCGAAAAGAGGACTCACCAGTACTCGCGGAGGATCAGGTCTTCGCCAGGGAGATGATTGACAAGACGCGCGATTTGCACAGCCTGAGGGGCTGAGATGGTGGACAATCCGCGCGCGCTCCCGCAACCCCTGGCTTATTGCGCGAGCACAAGACGGCTAATTCCCTGACCGTTCCATACTGAACGGAAGGAAGGTGTGAAGCATATTACTGGATACAAGAGGGGTGTGTGAGTGTAGCTGTGTGTGTGTTTGTAAGCTAAGAGGGAAAGGGTTTACAAGTGACCCTTGAAACTGAACCTCGGCTACCCTCTGTAGGCTCTGAGACGACACTGAAAAAAATGTCAAAAATTATATAATGCCATATGTAGTAGTGATAATACAAAATATTTTAAACAAAAAACGTATATTAGCACTTATTTTGACTTTAACTGTCCTGCTTCAACTACCTGCAGTGGAGATGTAAAAGGTCTTAAAAAAAGACATAAAAATTCATAGTGAATGTTTCCTGCTATTGAAAATAAAAGCAAAACTGGCTCCCTTGAGTACATTACATAGTGTTCTAAGCATTATTTATTGTAATACTTTTATTATTACTTCCTTGTTATACTGATGTGTAGTCAGTCACAGGAATTGTATGTATCATGTGTATTTTGGGGCAGTTTTTAAAGAGCAACGTATTGAAAAGCGGTTTTATTTTTGTATCCCACTGTCCAATCCTTCACTAGTTTCATGCAACTCAGTAAAGACACAGTAGCGCTGAATTAAATTGAATAAAAAAAAAACCCACCCAAGTGTAAAAGTTGCACTTTTTGAGCAACATGGTGTTTCTGGATTTGCACTTAATGTATATTAAACTTATTCTGCAACGCTGTGAAAGAGTAAATGTCACATGTTTATATACAAACATTTAACAAACAGTAGTTTTTATGAATACGTTTCAACAGAAATAATCAAATTACAACAACACACAAAAGGTGATGCTTACAGAAACAAGTAAGTTTGTTTTATTGCTATTTGTCAAGGTAGTTTTTTTTAATACTGCTACATTTTCTTGGATAAACACAAAAGCATCAACCTTTATAATCTCTGACTTCTATTCTTTTTCTTCCACTCTCTAGGTGCAGTGTCTGGACAGACAGTCGCATTTGGTTACAGACAGAATTGTGTGGTGGCTACGAGTGCCATTGGCACACATGACAGGAACGTTGAGAGGCTCTGTCTCTACCGCAGCACAGCAAACGCACTCCTGCTCCACAGCAGCCCTCTGCAGGGAGTACATGGACTTACTGCGACATTTGCCCTGACAGACAGAAAGACAGACAGATGGAAGGGTACACATAACAACAGGGAGACAGAAAGGACAGGATGGTGAGGGACAGTGTTACGATTTCACTCAAATTTGCAGGTTAATCCTACAGGGGAAAAGATTTAATCATTCTTAAATGTGTGTGTGTGTGTGTGTGTGTGTGCGTGTGTGTGTCTGTGTCTGTGTATCTTACCTCACAGTAGTACAGGTCTATCTGGTGCTCTGATTGGCAGTCATCCACCTTGATGTAGTCGAGCCTTCCCACTGTCTTTCGGCACTCTGGCTCTGTACCTTTACACCCACAC